CACATAGAGGGGACTTTGAAACACCTTTAAACGAAAAAAAAAAAAATTGAAAAAAAAAATCTTTTTGGCTCAGGAAAGGGGGGGGGGTCCCCTTAACATGAGACGAATTATAGTGATTATTGCTGACACTGTAATACGAAGATATATCACCAGTGTCTCTATCGTTTCTAAACAACAAGGATGTAGAAAAAAAGAGGATAATTTCATCCCAAAATCAAGCGAACGAAGAGTTGACAAATGTTGAAGAATTTTCATCGTTAAATCTTCAACGTGGGTAAAGTTAGCACCAGATTCGAGTTTTTGCTGTCCGGATTCGTTCGTGTACTTGAGTTATATTTCGTTCAACTTGAGTTAGGTGCAGAATTTTACGGCGAATCCGATGGTGTAATGATCAAGGGGGATCATCGAGTAAAAACTAGCACTTGACCCCGAAATACTGAATTTTTCAAAATTTTTTGAAAAGTATTTGCTGTCCGGATTCGTTATTTTACTTGAGTTGGGTCTAAAAATGGTTGAGTTGGATTTAGCATGAAATTCTGCATCGAATGATATCGATTTAGTATGGGGTCATCGGGAAAAGAAGTTTTCATATGGGTGAGGGTTAGCATGAGGAGGTGTGACTGGGTGAGGTGAAAAATTTTTGTTCGATGACCCCATACTAAATCGATATCATTCGATGCGGAATTTCATGCTGAATCCAACTTGACCATTTTTTACACCGAACTCAAGTACACGAACGAATTCGGACAGCAAAAACTCGAATCTAGTGCTAACTTTACCCACGTAAATCTTCAAAAGTTCTCGGTAACAACAAATCAAGATTCAACGTAGACAAGGGCAAGAACGCCTCAGAGGAACCAAAAATGATTGACCCCGCTGATCACTAAATAGAAGAATAAACACGACAGTGCCCAATTTGGGTTCGATCGAGTTATGAAACAATTTTAGAAATCCAAGGTGGATCAGCAATCTGAACATTTTACAGATACAAGAAACATTTTGAATGGTTTTTTCATTTAGAAGTTCTATAAGAGAGTACGGAAAAGCTTAGTAGAACAAGTTATGCATTGCATGATCTTTTCTTCTACCTCACGGACTTTTCTTTATTGACATCGAACAACGATGCATAGGGGGAAAATCTATCATATTATCGTGTTATTTCAACTACGAAATAAAGAGGAGAGAAAAGAATCAAGAAATTCATTTTATGAAGAGAAAGACAAGAGTGATGAGATATCACAGTTTGACTCTCGAGTCGGGTCGTGCCACAAAAATTTGACCCATATCGGACACTGATACACGGTATATTAATTGAAAATTGAACGTTTTTCTTTTCTTATTCAAACTTCTTAACAATAAAGAAATTTTTCGTCAAAATAAAAAGGAACATATGAGTAGATTCAATCTTTCTAGCATTTTGACATAAGAGCAAAAGAGTAAAATTTTTTCATTCATGTCACCTTAATCTTTTGAAAACTCAGAGCGGATTCGAAATTTCTAAAGCTTGAAGAAAAAATTCTTATTACACTAAACGATTGAGAATCAGCTGCCTTGCAAGCTGTTACCCGAGTATGTATATTTGGCATGATCATAACTACTTACAGTGCAACTCTGTCTTCGAATTTACCGAATCTCTTTCGATGGAAAATCGAGTTTTGATCGGTATACCGCAGTACTCATACTGTTCTAAGAAAAAAATCTATAATGAGAATACAATTTTATAAACAAAGTGTACTAAGTGATTTAGACAAGACTTTTTGTTGTCGTATGTTATAAAAAAAGTCCAATTCAAAATTTACCAGCAATGATTAAGCATCATATACCATCGATTATATGGTACTTAGGCAACAAATTTAACTTTCAAGCTTGCCATACATGTCCCCGAGATAAAAAATTCAAATATCTGTACTCCAATTCAATCAAATGGGCTAATCTTTTGATTAGTTTTTTCATATGGATAATGTAAGCAAATACTTCCATTAAGTGTTATTGTTGAACTCACTAAAGAAATGTAATCTTTTATAATGTAAGAAAAATATATGTTAAGGGTTTCATAGATAATTTTTAGTTGTTACTGAGAGAACAACACGGCGATATCAAAATATACTGTATGAGTGATATAAGAATTAACTTGTTTAAATGCGATAATGCATATTTGAAAAGTAAAATGCACAAATAAAGTTCTTTTGACAGTGAATAACTAGTTTCTTCGAAAAACAACTAGTGTTCCATGCTTGAAGATTCGGAATAGTGCACTTGTTGATTTTTAAACTAACTACTATTGAAATTTTTGTCGGTTTGTCTCAATGTTGTATCATGCATAAAGTTTATTTTGATTTCTTCTTGTTGTTCTCTTAGGTAACAACTACAAATTAATTATGAAACCCTTTGCATATTATTGTGATGGAGAAAGCATTCATGCACATATTCACAATTATCACGTTTGGCATCAACATTGAGTTTCATTTCAGTGTTATCAGCAACAAGCAAAGGTATTTGTTTTTCTGTTGTGGACTTTCAGAGCATCTCTCTTTTTCGTTGCTGTTTATGGGAAAAACTAAAAAGTACACTTGTTCATATAAACTAGAGGTTTGAAAATTGTTATGTCTGTGAAAATATTTGTCGAATACCGATTAGCTCCGGTTCGAGTTCGGTTTAGTATTGAGTATTAATATATATTTTTCTTAAATATCGTGATGTAGAACATAGAAATATCTGAAATTTCTATAAGCACTATAAATTGAAATATTTTTTCTAAATAATGAATTATTTCCAATTACTTTATTTTATCGGAATCCGTTTAGAATTTACTTCTTAGTGATTAATAATTCGTATATCATAAATTAAAGAAAGACGTTTTCGCATACATATCTACTGCAGTGCTGCTTTTTTTTTTAATTTTTAATTTTAAGAATTTCCCTCTTCATCTCTGGAATTAAACATATGCATTTATATTCTCCTTCTTTTTCCTTGTTGTTAATCGTGCGTCATGGATTTTTTTCTTTCCTCTCATACATGTATCTATGATGGACTTTTCCTTTTCTGTCATATATGTTGGTGTTTTTTCTTTCCTTCTGTTTTTCTTTCTCTCATGTTGTTCTTTCGATTTTCCTTTCTTTTGATCATCGTTTATGGAATATGCCATTAAGGATTTTACCTGTGTTATCGTCCTATATATATGCGTTCGATTGTTGCGAATAGGATGCACGATAGATATACGTAGTTATAGAAATGACGTATAAATTAAATTAAGATCACACGATATTCGTGTTTGTAAGATAGCACACTGGAGTAAATAGTTAGATTAAATAGTGTCCTAGTTGAGAAATATGTTTTATAGTAAAAGTAGATCCTATTACAGATGAGTAACAATGGATGAGCACTATAGTTGTTACTATCTTTAGTAAGTCGTTGTAATTTTATTCAGTGTGTTGCATTCGATATGGTTTCACGTACCAGATAAGTATCATATAGATAATATATATATGAAATATAATATTCTAAAACACAACATTAAAAATTTATGTATCTGAGTAAAATAACTGTGTAACAGAGTTTCAACGATTGAGTACATATGTTTTTCACTTTATGCATACAAAGTCTGCAAAACAGGCTTATCTTAGCGTTTAAATGAATTTAACCATCGACTTTGTCTACTTGACATCGAGAAAAGCATGTTTTACTGCGTCATCTTTGTTCATACGAGAAGTAGGTCAGTTATGCGGTACTACTATCCTCAATTTTCACATTTGATGTGTCAAAAGCATCGTTCTATCGTTTCTCTGTCTGCGTGGACGTGACTCACATTTTTCTGTGTCGTTTTTTTACATCTATTGCATTATCCGACACGTGTATTGCTGTTATCGGTTACTTTCAACATATAACGAAACTATTTCTTTCATCATTCTGTCGTCTACGCTTAGAAAATCCGAACAAGAGCAGGAAGTTGAATTATGTTGCATTGTTTTTAGCATTTTCGATGATGTTACTTCTGTGATAAAACGCATAGTAGAACGAGATGAATGCATCAAGTTTTTATATTAATAGTGCAAAGTTTTGAGACCATTGAAAATAAATTTTCAACAATTTTTTCAAGATTATGACAACATAAAATTTCGTGCATTAATGAGAGAATAGGCTTTATGTAGGTTTTTCTCTGTAGGATTGAGCTTGAGTTTTGAAAGAAGAGTTATTCCATTGTTTGCGAAGTTGATGTCCCAGAGTTTTCAGTGTCAACAGAGTCAAATTTGACTTTGGACAAGTATGAGCATCTTACCGTATGTGTAATTATCGGAACAGGTATAGTTAAGAATGAATCATTTTTTAAACCTTTTCGTGAACATAATTTTTTAATAATTAGTTTCTCTTTTATGTTTTGTGTTTGTAGAAATATTTAATGAGATCGTTTGTTCTCGACACTTTCGAGAAAGAAAATTGTTCATTTATTTTTTATATATTCTTTAGATTTTATTCGATAGTTAAAGCAACATATCAATTTTAGTCAACTTTCCTGTTGCTATCTACAGTGATCTGTCTACTAAATACGAATCAATGGATGTTTCATTGAAACGATTCGATACAAATAAAGAAGATTCGAAAAGTCTTCATAAAATTCGTAATCGAATTCAATCATTAGTTCAATCAATAAACAGATCAGGTGTTCATAGTGTAAGCTACATGTCTGCCGCCGGATTTGAATATACAGGTGATGGAGATACAGTTCGTTGTAAGGACTGTGGACTTGAAGTATCCAATTGGACATTAGATATGAAGCCATTTATTATTCATTCGACATGCCAACCTAAATGTTCATTTGTCTGCTCTATGGTGCCAGCTTCATTATCAAATATGACTGCTTCTTCCTCTTCGCGAATAATTGCTATTAGAAAGGCATCGATATCAAATGAAGAAGAAAATCCTTCTAAACGTCGAAAAATCGAAATAATGGGTTCGGAGTCTGTTTCAAATACTTTATTTGAAGTAGAATCAATTCAACAAGTGCGAAGACGTACTTTTTCTCATTGGTTAGATCGTACTATTCCATCAAGTGCACAAATGATTGAAGCTGGATTTTTTAATTGCAATATTGGTGATCGAGTAATATGTATTTATTGCAATCTTATTTGTCAACAATGGACACCATACATAGATGATCCATGTGAAGTGCATAAAACACTTTCACCTACTTGTATATATGTCAAAGCAAAACTGATACATCCTGTAGCTTCTCCTATAATTATTGTCAATGACGGTTCAACACAAACAACTTCAGACAATTGTTCATCAACATCAATGAATCTCGATCCATTAGGATCTAATGATATTGTATTTACAGCTTCATGTAATCCAGCTTATTCAGAAATACCAAAACGTCATGCATCTTTTGCAACATGGTCCAATGAAGATTTACCACCAGTAGATGATTTAGTTCGAGCAGGATTTTTTTATACAGGTGCAAAAACTATTGTTACTTGTTTTTATTGTAATGGATCAATAAAAAATTGGCATCGAAATGATAGTCCCATGATTGAACATGCTCGTTGGTTTCCACATTGCGCATATGCTCGACAATTATGTGGTGATGATTTATATCGTAATATTCAAGAATTCAAACAAGCAAAGCGAAGTATGTTTTAACAATTCTAAGGTCCAATTTAATATTTTCTTTTTCTAGAACGTACCAGAACCCATGAATTGAAAGAAAGAACAAGTTCTAGTAATATGTTAAATACTAACTTAGCAACAAATAGTCAACTATTATTAATACCTGATGAAAGTACTTTATTCAGACTTGTTGCTGCTCGATTAGATTTACCGATGTCACAACGTTTATTAGATCAAAATTTTAAATTATCTATTATTAAGCGATGTTGGGAAGATCAATTACGAATAAAATGTAAATTAATCAAGAAAATAATGTTTTTTGTATTTTTTTAAACTTTCTTCTTAGATGCTGATTTTGTATATGAGTATGATTTGTATATTGCTTGTGTAATTCTTCAAAAACAAATTGAACATATTGATGGTAAAAAAGAAAATATTGTCATACCAAGCCTAAAAATGAAACAAGTCAGAGAACAAAATGGTGAGTTTCCTATTTATATATTTTCAGTTTGTATTCTATTATCTTCTAGATATTTGTATGCATGAAAAAACATCAACTATATCTAATGTTGCTCAATCAGTGTCAAATCTTGCAGATGTTGAAATGACTGAATCATTCCAATCATTAAGAAATGAATCTACATCTTCTCAATCTTCTATTGTTTCCACATCGAAACCAACAATCACTGGTAATGAATGTGAAACAGAAACAACTAAACAAAGAATTGATGCTGCGCCATCCAATCCCTGCGTTCTGTGCCTGGAGGAGGAAAAACGAATAGCTTGTATGCCATGTGGTCACCTGGCCACATGTGTGGCATGTGGTCATTCATTACGATCGTGTCCAATATGTCGACAAGAAATCCAAGCATTCGTTAGAATTTATATCTAGCGACAAATGGTTTTTTATTTGATCAAATTAAAGTTGGTTGATTGTTGTCAATTAGTTTTCGAACTGTACCTGATTGTCGAATAATGCAGAAACGAAAGCACAATGTGCAATTTTCGTGTTCGGGAGTCGGTTTTCATTGCTCAGAAGTATTTATATATCACTTAGAAAATCATCTTTAAGATAATAAAACATTATTCGAAAAACATCTTTTGTTAGAAAACACATTGTTTCAAACATCATTTGACGCAGTTTCAGACGTTGATCGAGAATATCTCCTTGGTATTTCGCTAGGATATTATTTTAAGGGCACAAATAGGGATTTAGCGTAAAAAAGCATGGTTTTCCGGAAATCTGTAACTGAGTCAACGTTCACTAATACTATTCGGCACTATAACCAACACTAGATCCCGAATAGAGGCATATTCATTGCAAGTTTGAGGTGAATTTAACTGAAGTTGTTTGTAACGTTTATAAAATAGAGGAAGTCAATTTTTGGGAACATTTTTAACATAATAATTGAAAATCTTTTTTCAAAAAAACACATTTTATTGTGTATAGTTAGATGCAACTCAACGCTATGGTTAGCGATGAACCAGATATGGAAGAATAATTAGTGAAAGTTTGCGATCAATTGGAAGAAAATTGTTTTGGGGATTGACAAAATACAGAAAGATGACTTTCAGAATCTTGTTGAGTCCAAACGCCAAACTTTTTTTTTTGACAAACCCTTACTATTATATATCATTCAGTGCATATTGGCAAGCCGATTTGGAATATTACCTTACAATACATAGTTTGAAATATTATCTGTTTTCATTTATTTTTGCACAGAAAAATGATAGACACTTAAATTGCTTTCAAAAGGTGTATCATGAAATGCTCAACAATATCGAGAGAAAAAGCTAAAGATGTACGCGACACTGGAATTTTTTACCATAGCAGTAGAATGAACGCTACAGAAACTGTAGAATAATTATAAAAACCACTCTTTGTGTACAAAAACTCATTAGTGAATAAAATGATTCTACCAAAGCAATTTGTTTCCAGTACGACAATCGCTATTAAAGAAACAAAAGTGAATAATTAGGCAATTGATCGTTAAAATAGAAGGGCAAAGTCGACTCAGAACAGTGAAAAATTGAAGTATCTTGTACATTGTTCATTTAATCCTGGTCAAAATCCATTAAACTAGTCTAGAGGATATTTTGCTTCTCTTAAAAACATTCAATTTTTCAGCATGTTTTTCCGGAGGTTAATAAGAAATAGATATATTATAGATATTTTTATTACTTTCAATATAATGGACAGTAATAATATTTCATACATCCCTTTCTTTCGCTTTTCTAAGAACTTTTCAGAATAATTCAACAGGTTCTTGTGATGCAGTTGTCTTAAAGAATCCAGTAACTTCTACGAATCATTCTTTCGAAAATTTTCTGTAAGTCCTCGTACTCATTACATCGTTAAATGAAATAAATTGAAGTAAAGACAAATAAAAGGTCGCTCTTTCAGATCATGCACTTTTTTTAATATGATTGAATTGTATTCTGTGCTGTCCTATAGAGAAATTCCGATTGTTGAAAGAATCTAGTAAATCCCAAAAAAGATAAATCATGGAAGATTGCAAAATTAACATTGAATTTTTTGACAAAATTTCAAGATTACCTGATTTGCCTACATAAAAAATATATGCAAAATAAACCCTGTGGAAAACATGTCGAGACAACACGTATTCTTTAGTATGAGTTAGAATTGGAAAGGTGAAAAATCGCCACCCTTGCCCCCTTCCCCCCCGCCNTTCGTTCTATTCTTCCTGATCAAATTATACCTGTACCATCAACAGTGAATCTACTTTCAACTACTTCAGGATTGACGGATGATGAAAAACCATCTAAACGTCAGAAAATAGAAGCAACGCAAGAGATGTGTCAGCCATGTCGGCTAATCGAAGTCGACACGCTAAAGCAAATAAGAAAACGAACTTTTTCACATTGGCCACATCGGACATCACCCTCATCTGCACAAATGATTGATGCGGGATTCTTCAATTGCAATGTTGGCGATCGAGTGATTTGTTTGTATTGCAGTATTATTTGTCAGCAATGGACTCCCCATACAGACGACCCATGTGAAATACACAAAAAACTCTCTCCTAAGTGTCCCTACGTCATTTCAATGTTGAAACGTCAGCAAACAGCATCAATTGTCATTATCAATGAATTTTCTAACAATGGTCATTCATTGGCTTCGAACAACACTGATCCACTTCGATTCAATGAAATTGTATACACTGCTGCGTGTCATTCAAATTATATCGAAATTCCTAGGCGTCATACGTCTTTTGCTACATGGTCAAACGAAAATTTGCCGCCTGTTGAAGATCTTGTCAAAGCTGGCTTCTTTTATACTGGTACTAAAACAATTGTGACATGCTTTTATTGTAATGGGTCATTGCAAAATTGGGGCGCAAATGATAATCCAATGATTGAGCATGCCCGTTGGTTTCCACATTGTGCGTATGCTAAACAGTTATGTGGCCCAGAGTTACATCGGAAGATTCAAGAATCGAAACGAGTTCAACAGGGTTTGTTCTTACTTTATTCTATCAAATTATAATGACTGATAGTGTACTTTCATGCTTAGAACGAGTCAAGATCAAGGAACCAAACAAACAACTTGAAATAGTTGGGAGTAGTATGGGAAAGGGACCGCTGAATATCTCCGATGAGAGTACTTTGTCAAGATTCGTTGCTGCTCGACTTGATTTATTTATTTCACAATATTTACTGACAAAATGTTTCAAACTATCTATCATCAAACGTTGCTACGAAGATCAACTGAGAATAAAACGTAAATGAAACGTTTTCTATCTGATCGCATATGAAAACAAAACTTGTATTAATTGGTATTTTAGAGGATGACTTCATCGATGATTGCGATCTTCATGTAGCGTGTATAATTCTTCAAAAACAAATCGAACGTATTGATGGAAAAAAAGAAAATATTATTGTACCCAGTGTAGCTATGAACAAGATTCGCGAAGCAGAACAAGCAGGTAGCTATGACAAAACAAACAAATAAACGATTATTAATTTTGATAATACTGTAGCAATTCATGCTCGTGAACAGGCTGCAAGTTTATCAACTCTGAGAAATAATACAGCTGATACGGATGTTGAAATGTCAACATCATCGGAAACTATCAGAAGTAAAGTTAATGTATCGGAATCAACAGTTACTGACTCACAAGTGAAAAATCCAAAATTGTCTGCGGTAGATCCTGCTTCACAAAATCAAACAGATGATTCATTATCATCGAATCGTTGCGTTTTATGCTTGACGGAAGAAAAGCGTCTTGCTTGCATTCCGTGCGGTCATTTGACCACGTGCGTTCCTTGTGGTCATTCACTGCGCTTATGTCCTATCTGTCGTCGTGAAATTGAGGCTTTTGTTCGCATATTCATTTAGACGACAGTATTCTAGGATGACGTGGTGATTGTCCTAAGCTTTGCATGAAATTTAACTTTTTTTAAATCTTCAATAAAATGCCGTATTTTAAGACCGTACGGTCTTATTTATATTACGATTCATTTATTTGAACTATCGGACATCTGGATTTAGTAAAGTTCATCAAGAAATCGATGGTCGAATTTGATAAAGTCAGAAAATAAATGGGAGCTTTTCATCATATAGAACTTTTGGATTTATCTTAATTATCAAGTGTTACATTTTCCTTGTATCCGAGTTTCTATTGTCTCATTGTATTTGGACAGCAATAAAACATTAAGATACATAGGAATAGTCTTTTTTTTTGTGTTTTGTTTTTCCTAGTGACGATTGTTTCTCTGTTAAATAACACTGTATGGCGTCTATAGAAACATGCTAGTTATCTTTCAATAACAACATAGAAAGAAAGTTTTCTTACACAAATCATAATTTTACAAGAAAATACTAATTAGATATGCACAAATATTTAAAATCAAATATTTTGTTTACGTGAATAAACAAAGCTAAGCCTTTAAATTTAATCTGGATTTCTGTGTCACAAGACGATGTAAAAGTTTCTCTTTGATATTTTACTATTACCATATGATTCATCGCATTGATGAGTAGTGTACCGAAAAAAAATACATTCTTTTTATTTTCGTTCGCACACTATTAAATCTTAGGCTTAACAATTCAATGTGATATTCAAGTAATTACTGAAATATCGTGTTTTTTACACAAAAAGAAAGCGGAAGTATTATGAAACATGATGGGTGAAAACAGAAAAGAAAAAAGAAACGGAAGTATATTAGCCAATTAAATTATTTTTGTACATTTCTAGATAAGTACCTTTGGTATTTTTGTCTCAATAGTGTTTTGTCATGCGACAAGCGCCTATATCTCATACAGGGTGGTCCAAAAGTTACCGACCAGTCTTAAATTACGAATAAATTTTGATAGGAACAAGATCTAGACCTGCAGTTTTCACCATTCGAAAGAGCAATGTTCGGACCATGGATCTATAAAATATTCGTTAAGACGAAAGATGCTTTTTTCATAGGAGCTTTTTAATTGACATCCTTTTTTTGTGTATTTTCATAAATTTTCACAATAATATCGTCTCAAATTACGCTAAAATGTAGCTCAAATTACCCATTTTTCGCTATAAAATTATCACTTTATGCATTATTCCGTCGACCTCTTTTCTCAAGTGAGCCTTCGAAAAATAGTGATACTTCTATAGCGAAAAACGGGTGATTTGAACTACATTTTGGCGTAATTTGAGACGATATTATTGTGAAAATTTATGAAAATACACAAAAAAAAAGAATGTCAATTAAAAAGCTCCTATGAAAAAAGTATCTTTCATCTTAATGAATATTATATAGATCCATGGTCCGAACATCGCTCTTTCGAATGGTGAAAATCGCAGGTCTAGATCTTGTTCTTATCAAAAGTTATTCGCAATTAAAGACTGGCCGGCAACTTTTGGACCACCCTGGATGTAAAGAGCCAATGTGCATAGTCATACATGCATTATCGCTGTCGTTATCGTTTAGTCCCTATATATGATTATTCTAAAAGTAAATATCTGCGACAATAAAGTACTGAAGATGACGTTATAGATATAGTTAAGAGAATTATCTTTTTGTTTTTATTGTTTGATATTAACTCATGAAGAGAATGAATAATAAAAAAAACTAACGATTGTTTTTGTGTTCGATACACTGTTCTGAAGTCGGCACGAACATTGATGCTAAATCAGAATTTATCCATGTGCTAAATCCTATCTGTCACAGCTGTCAGAATGCTAATCTCAAAAGACATTATCAAGACTTCTCAATATTATTTAAAAATACGGCTGTGGACATTTCGGTGATTCTTCTCTGCTTCTACACGCAATGCCAGTTGTGAACCAAATATTATCATTACCAACTGGGCGAATATCGAACTGCATCGATAATGATGAACTTTGGTTCACTTCAAATAGTCAAAACATTTGTCATTTCTTCAGTTTAAGGATTAATCATGCTATTTCAATTATTTCCAACTTTTTAAAGTGCATTTTAATCAGTTACTACGCAGGTTTGTTTTTTGTGACGTATTGCTTACACCTATTGCATGTAGCCACATTTTTTTTTTATTCGTTCTCTTTGTCAACAATCCTTTCTCCTTCATACGTCTACAACGAAGCAACTTTTTTTTTCTTTCTATCGTCTACACTTGGAAAATTCCCCATAAGACAAGAAGTTTTATTACGTTATAGTTCTACAGCATTTTCGATGGGTTTTTTCTCAGTGATCAAGGGCAAACTGGAGTCAGGTAAGAACAGAAGATTGTTATATAAATAGTGCAGGTCTTTGAGATCATTCATAATCGATATTAAACAATCTTTAGATCTATGGCAATATGAAATTTCTTACAACAATGAAACAAATACATTTTATGCAGGTTTTTCTCTATAGAAAAGAGCTCTAACTTTGTGAGGAGGGTTATTTCACTGTTTACGAACTTTTCATCATAGAATTAGGAGTTCTAAGAGAAGCAAATTTGACTTTCGAGAAGTCTGAACTTCCTAATGTATGTGTACAATCATGAGAAGAGATATAATTAGAAATGAGTCAATTTTTAATAGTTAGACTCCATCTTCCATTTTATTGTTCAAGAAATAGTTAATGGAATCGCTTGAATAATTAAAATCTTCTCGAAATTTAAAAAAAAAAAACTTTCATTTATATATTGTATATCTTTTAGATTTTATTTAATAGCGAAAGCAACATATCAATCTTAGTCAGTTTTCCTATCGTTATCCAAAGTGGTCTATCCAATAAATACGAATCAATGGATGCTTCATCGAAACATGTCGATAAGAAGGACAATGGTTCACAAACTCTTGCGAATATTCGTAATCGAGTTCAATCATTAGCTAAAACAATAAACAAACGAGGCGTTCACAGTGCATCTCGTATGGCTGCTGCTGGTTTTAAATATACAGGAATTGCAGATACAGCTCATTGTGAAGGCTGTGGACTTGAAATATCCAACTGGACATCAGATATGAAGCCATTTACTATACATTCGACACGTCAACCTAATTGTCCATTCGTTCGTTCTATAGGGACAGCTTCATCATCAAATACCTTTGTATCTTCCGATTTGTTAGCAACTGCTATTCAAAACACATCGATATCAAATGAACAAAAAAGTCCTTCTAAACGTCGAAAAACCGAAACAATCGATTCAAAATGTCTCTCAAATACTTTAACCGAAACTGATTTAATTCAAAAAGTACGAGTACGCACTTTTTCTCATTGGCCACATCGTACTACTCCATCAAGTGCACAAATGATTGAAGCTGGATTTTTCAATTGCAATGTTGGTGATCGAGTAATATGCATTTATTGCAATCTTATTTGTCAACAATGGACACCACATACAGATGATCCATGTGAAGTACATAAAACACTTTCACCTAATTGTATATATGTCAAAGCAAAATTGATGCATCCTGAAACTTCAACTGTACTTGTTGTCGATGGAAATTTAATGAGAGCAACCTTAGACAATGGCTCACCAACATTAAATAATCTTGATTTATTATCATCTAATGATATGATGTTTAAAGCTCCATGTAATCCAGCTTATTCAGAAACATCAAAACGTTATGCATCATTCGCTACATGGCCAAATGAAAATTTACCACCAGTAGATGATTTAGTTCGAGCAGGATTTTTCTATACAGGTACAGAAACCATTGTTACTTGTTTTTATTGTAATGGATCGTTGCAAAATTGGAGTCTCCATGATATCCCAATGGTTGAACATGCTTGTTGGTTTTCACATTGTGCATATGCTCGACAATTATGTGGTGAGGAATTATATCATAAAATTCAAAAATCTAAACGAGCACAACAAGGTATGTTTCAATAATTTAAAGATAAAACTTAATTTCTCTTTTTAGAGCATACTAGAGCTAATGAGTTCAGAGAAAGAACAGATTCTAGTAATATGTTAAATACTAACTTAACAACAAATAGTTCACTATTATTAATACCTGATGAAAATACTTTATCCAAACTTGTTGCTGCTCGATTAGATTTACCGATGTCACAACGTTTATGGGATCCAAATTTTAAATTATCTATTATTAAACGATGTTGGGAAGATCAATTGCGAATAAAACGTAAATTAATCAAGAAGATAATGCCTTTTGTATTTTTTTTAACTTTCTTCTTAGATGCTGATTTTGTACATGAGTATGATTTGTATACAGCTTGTGTAATTCTTCAAAAACAAATTGAACATATTGATGGTAAAAAAGAAAATATTGTTATACCAAGCCTAAAAATGAAACAAATCAGAGAACAAAATGGTGAGTTTCCTATACATATGTTCCCAATTTCTTTTCTGTTATTCTCTAGAGATTTGTATGCGTGAAAAAACATCAACTATATCTAATGCAGCTCAATCAGTGTCAAATCTTGCAGATGTTGAAATGACTGAATCATATCAATCATTAAGAAATGAATCTACATGTTCTGGGTCTTCTATTGTTTCCACATCAAAACCAACAATCACTAGTAATGAATGTGAAATAGAAACAACTAAACAAAGAATTGATGCTGCACTATCCAATCCCTGTGTGCTATGCCTGACAGAGGAAAAAAGAATAGCTTGCATGCCATGTGGTCATTTAGTAGTCTGTGTTTCATGTAGTGAATCATTACAGTCATGTCCAAGATGTCGACAGAAAATTATAGCTTTTGTTCGAATTTATTGCTGAACATACATTTATGTAGTTTCGATGTAGCATATCAACTTGCTTCATTAATCGATCAGATAAATGTCTTATGTTTTCTTCTAAGTAATTAACTTCTTCGATTTGCATTAAAAAATTACTGATCATTATTTGTGTATATATCACGATGGGCTATTTTTCCATGATAACTCATAAAAGAATGTCAACTATTTTTTTATTTATAACTTTATGTACAAACTTTTTTTTATTATGATTTCCAGCTCGAATTATGAACTATAAAGCTACTTGACATGATGATGTGGATGATAAATTTCTAATAAATGATTTTGCATTTGAATACACATTTTTTTAACGAAACAATTGTTGAAGTATTTTAAGTTTAATTGTTTGTGTTCACCAGTAAATTTTGATTGATTCACGTAGAATACCTTGAATAAAAACATAAAGAACAACAAACAAATTTTTGCTTTCTTTTTCAATCAAATACGATTCTCTTATTTCAAATAGTAGTTCTCGATTGAGCGTTGTCACATCCATTCAGATAACATTAAAGACCGCTGTTACTTTCGTTTTAAAAAGTGCGTGAAGATTGTAAAAGGTAACTTTTACATTTGAAAAACGTGCAAAAAAAATTCCTATAATATCTTTGACATACACCATGCATTAAAGGTGATTTCTTAAGCGTCTTGACACAGCTTTTATCAAGAAAGTAGATGTCTTTGGTGTTATCTGAATAGACGTCAAAACGCTCAAACAAGAATCTCAATTAGGGCATTTAAAAATGTCTTGTCTGCTTCAGTAATCATTTTGCCGAAAAACTTTCAACTCCTTTTTTTTATTTATGGATGTAAACCAACCTATCCATATAATACAGTGGTATAAAAATACATGCATCATCTGAGAAAGACGAGAGTATATAGTTATTCAAGTAGGATAGATGGTGCTCACGAACGTCATATGTTACGTACTTTTAAAAACTCGACTTCATTTGAATAAAAAATTTATGTCTAAATTTATTTAGTTTTTCTGAAAACAACGATAGTAAACTTTATGTCTGACCAGATTATTTATAGTTGATTTCTGTGTTGAGAAAAGATAGATATAGTATCATGAAGCAATATTTTTTTTGTTTATTCTAACATCATATGTACTAACATGATAGCAAAAAATAAATAAATAGAATTGAATTTGAAAACTCTATTCGAACAAATTCTGTGCACAGGTATTAGCGGTTTTAATTTGAAACCACCTTGAGCTGTACAACTGTTGTAGTGAAGAAGTTATATGAATTCTTTTGAAGGGCATAAATAAACTGAAAATTCACTCTAGTTTAATGTATTGAGCTGAAATTTTTACCAGAAACATCACCCATTTGTGAAAATTTCAATCCGCATGAACTATACTACATGACAAATCTATTGGGAAGCACGGAGTCTTAAAAAATTTGATTTTTTCTCTTAATTGAAAATCGTATTTTAAAATCAGCTGAATCAAGATAAAATCAAGAAGTATCGATTTGATTTAGTACATTTATTTATCTTTATAGTTATCCATTGGTCCCTGTATTAATAAAATATATTCTTGATAAGAGTTTAAAAAAAAACAGTATCATGATGTCATAAACTTCAATGGTGGACTAAGAAAATCTATAATTTCGATTTTCATACAATATTCTCATTTAGAGTTTCCGTTATTATTTATGTAATCCATGTACAATATCTGTTTTATTATGTGCTTTGATTAATTTACTTGTCAAAAGGTCAAAAATAAATACAAGTAAATATCTTTTCCTTTTAAATTAATTTTCAAAAGAGAAAACAAAATTCTTTTATTTAGGTTCATCAAGTAATACAAATGCGCTATTGTCACCCACAATCTCGTTATTTATGCTAAAAGTATTTTAGAACAGTAAACTATTGGTTAAAATTTTGATAGAGATGTGAACACAAATAATGTTTCATCGAGACTCGATTAATTTGATCCTAGACTAACGGTATAGAGATGTGCATTATGTAAAGTGCTAGTTAAATACAAAAAAGAACTTGGCATATGACAGCAATTCGATACACAAAGTCAATTTTTTTCTAATATAAAACTCTATTTTGAATGCAATACACTTGTCTAATAAAGTTCAAATTCTATCGAGCAATGTTATTGTTTTTTTAATAGAAATTTTGTCAAAGTTTTTTGTATCGTTGCACTGTTTTAAGTATGTTTATTTTTTGGTTCTTTAATATTGTTCTCAAAACTTTATTTTTTATCTCAAATGATACTTGAGTACAATCATTAATTAATTCTTTTAGTCATATATTGATTTATATCGAATTAATGAATATCTATAAACAATACACTGTCATAAAAAATAGTATATTTATTTTAGAGATTTTCTACTCTAAGTTTGAACATTTTACATGAGAAACTAGAAATTGAAAACGTTCCGGTTTTTCATCATTGATATTATTGTTTGCTTTCTTCTTCGCGTTGCATATGTTTATTTATTTATTAAGATAACATAGAAATCAATACAATTATTTAAAAAAGGTGCACTATTTCTATTGCAAAAAAAAATGAAGGGTGTGGCCCAGATACCAATTGAAAAACGAGGAGTACGACGTCGATTATTAGGAATCAAACGACCAATGAATGTCTTTTCACAACAATCAACGAAGGCTTAAATATCAGAAGTGTTCGAATGTTGGGAAGCGCATCTATCAAAGGATCATTCGTCGGTTAAGTTTTTTATACCCCATTGAACAATCAATCGAACCATTCAATAGTTAAATAACAATGATCATCACTGCTCAAAGTATCCAAGCTCAGCACAAGTACAGTCATGTTGGGTGATATCCGAAATGTATGCGGGCTTCCTTTTCTTCATCCTGATATACTACTCATCGATTAATTTTAGTCTTTCAGCATAGATATCCTTTTTTGTTATTCTTCACAGTGATTTGTATCATGTTTACTGTATGACACATGTGCCGCATATATGATATGATGTCATTTGGATTATAGTTACCATATAGTAACTATGTTACAGACAGACACACACAGGTGAATTCCCGTTACTAGACCTTATCCTTTCAGTGTAGGAAAGATAAATTTCATCATGACAAAAATGATGACGCTTGAATATCTTGATTGATAATCTATATTGAATTGATTCTTGCTGTTGCAAGTAATTAGTTTTATTCATAAAAGACATCGAATATTAATGATTCACAAAAAATTAACCATTGATCTGTAATCTATTCAGTTCGAATATCTATGTTTTAAACGCGATAATGAGATTATTCGTAGATCCTCAAACATGCCATAACCGTTGTTCGACAAATGGGACATTCTTTCATACCATGTCCACATGCTAAACAAGTCACATAATGTGCGCAAGGTACAAAAGCAGTTTCTCGAGGACTTTTCATACAAGATATACAAGTATTGGTTGCTAGAATCGTCTCCTCGTCTTCGAATATATCAGTATCAATACAGTTGGAAGTATTGACAGGTGTTGATTGGCAAGTGATTTGATTAATCTGATCCATGAGATCGAATTATTCGTGGATAATATCCAAATTCACCTAGTAAACGAAAATTTTGATGAACAAGAATGAATGATAAAAATGAATAGTTACTCTTAGCAAAGAATTTTGATGTGTTAAATGAGACGCGCAAAAAGAAACGTTTGTCAGTTTCTACGCCGAACGACAGCTTCTCATTTTTTCCAACTTGGACAAAGTTACTTGGTTTTTTCCAGTTTACTTGAAAAATAAATACCTACTAGTGAAACTAATCAAGATGAACGCATATTGTTAGCTGTTTTTTTTTGCCCGATGAGTTTTACACCTTTACTTTGTGAGAAGGGGTAAAAGAATGTATTATTTTTGTGCTTTTCTTTGTGTTTTAGAATGAGTCATTGAAACATTGTAATTCAGTTTGATGTAGCCTACAATCGTTAAAAGTATGATAGGGTTTAAGTTCGATTTCTTTCCAATGCATCTATATAATGTTCTTTTATTACAAAGAAACTCAATCTTGATATTTAAATATAATACGCAACATTTAACGTAGAAGACATACTATAGAAAGGTAATGATAAAAAAAATGTCGTTGTACACATTCTGGCATCGATATATGTGCTCGAAGGAAAGATTTTTTATTAGTTGATAAAAAATTTTCTTTTCTTTTGCATTACACATGACTTGGTTGTTACATAGCACAAGGAAAAAAAAGTGTATTTGCTGCGCAACTCTCCTCTATTTTTTTACCAACTAATTTTTATTATGTGCATGTGAAAAAAATGAGTCACATACAATTTAACAGAGAACGAAAATTTCTATGAATCGATCAAAGAAATTATCGATCCAAATTGTGTTTATAATAGAGTTATAAAAGTTGATGTTTTGACATAGAAAAGTTTAGTTTACTACAGGAGAAATTTTGCTTTACTCCAACAATGAACGAAAAAAAATATGAGGAAATGAAAGAACCAATATCTTGATTAATTAGTGGGGTCTGAATATATATTATTGAGAAAAAAGGCAATTGATCTATGGTAATATTCGGAATAAACAATGAAGATTGTTAAATGATGAAACTGATCAACATTCGAAATTGAGTTTTTTCAATAGTCACCTTAGAAGTCAATTGTCATTTGGTTTCTGATCGATAAACGTCATTTTAGTTGTATATGACTGACTTAAAACTTGATATTATCGATATCCTATAGCGTCGTGATATGCAGCATCGACACGAAAAGTTTTTCTACTATCTTAAGTCCATTTCGTTTGAATTAAACGTTAGATGAGAGTCTTTTCTTTCTTTTTTTCGAAAGACATATAACGAGTATGACAAAATATTGTTATTTACCTTTTTCTTTTAGGCGATATTATTCACTTGTATACAAGATATGAGGACATCCATGACGAACATCTTTTCCTATTCAGCTTTCAAAGGCAGCAATCCACTATATCTTTCAAAACTCTACAAATTGGTAGCATGGTGTTCAGCTTAATTCGTGCATAAAT